TAGGTAAATAGGTTACACAATGGGCTATCTGTACTCTGCCCACCACAGGTATCGAAACCTGGTTTATAGCGTTGAAAATCTGTAGACATACTGCTGTGCCACTGGGGAGGGGGGACGCACGCCTATATATTTCTGTGCGATTGGACTGTTGAAAAAGGGCACTAGGAAACCGTTGCCCTCATACACTATATTGTCTATGAAAAGCGTGTACAGATTACTAGTAAACTGTAGACATGAAAGCCTCACAATGGAACCTTTATATAATAGAAACTACGCTTCAGAGCTATTATTAGGATGCGCGGTTGTCAGATGGACTATGACCGGACGTGGTTAGACTCCACAGTTGTTTTAATACAACGTACTCAATCTCTTAAATGCCACTGATATATTCATTTAACATTATATATATATATATTAAGTTCAATCGACGGTTATAACGAGTAGTAATTATCTGTTTTGGTAATTGAAACTTAATAAATATACCACGAAATAGATTCATACTGTTAAAGCACTAAGTGGTATAAATATTTAGTTACACGAATCATAACTCACCATTGACCATATATATATATAAAACCAGGCTCACAACCGACAAGTGAACAAACTTACGACCAGTATAACAGTTCCTTAAGTAAGGAACAGAGGAATATAAGGATATTTAATATTTATATACTGACAGAGTCAACACTTACTTCAAATTAATTAACCAAAGTATCCATTAGTATTTAGTAGAAACCTTGATCTAGTGTAGTAATCACTGCAGCAAGTAACACAACAATACATCAATATTCAACAATAATATATTGACAGAGCAAAACAATTACTTCAAATTAATTAACCAAAGTATCCATTAGTATTTAGTAGAAACCTTGATCTACTGCAGCAAGTAACACCAATATTTAATATTAATATACTGACAGAGTCAACACTTACTTTAAATTTATTAACCAAAGTATCCATTAATATTTAGCAGATATTCTAATTTTGTATAAATGTAGTATGAAACACGAAAGATCACAATGTATATATCACTCAAATTTTCAGCATGATCATTTTTATCCATTTAATATCATTCTGTAATGATAATGCTAATTCTAAATTTGGTCATTGTTCCCCGTATAAACCAGTGAAGTCAACTGTGTACAAAAGATTTAAATCATGAATAAAACTCTTAGTTTAACATTAAGTCTTCGCTCTCGTATCTGTCACGTGTATACTGTAAACGAAATATTTACTAGGCTTATAAAGTAGCGACAGCACATGATTTGTTGGAAAATACTTATACGAGAGGTTTACATTTTGGATTTATAACTAATGTAGTGCTCAACAACATAACAAAAATACGATATTTCTTCTATCAGAAAGCTGCTTTACTTACTCGAGAATTTCGTGTCCATAACGTGGGTGAAACGTCTAACCTGAAGTAGGCACCAGTATTACGTCTATCGCATGCTTCTTCCTTTCAACGTGTCAGTCTTCACATTGGCACTTACTTTTATCCGGGTCACCAAGAAATTGTGGTATTCAAAATATTCACTTGAGGGCGCCACATTACAATATGATTGATTATAATTGTAAATAGAACGCATGCAGGTTTTTAAGCGTTTCCTATCTCATATTTTTTCGTGATAGACATAATGCGTTTTATACTCTAGGCTTACCTGGGATTTCACACTCGCTTGTAAACACCAAGTACTCTGTCGTCCTTTTAAATTTAATACCTTTAGAAATAAAGTTAATTGTCAACTGGAAATATTACTGCGAGTTTGTTATTCAACAGTTTATTATAAACAACTTACATTTACTCTAACGTGTAAAAATCTGGGGAAACAAATTGAAGAACTAGCTAAATGAACACAAACACATATACGTTCAGATAAAGCATACACTTTGAAGTGTATATAGAAAACACACGGTAATTTTTCCCCTTCCTGTGGAAGTCCAAAACATTTTAATTCTGTAGCCGTTTTCTCCAATATTTACGTCTAATGTGAAAATGTAAAATTAAAATATATTAGATGAAATTATCATAAGTTTATTAATAGGATTTTCTTTTTCGTACTACAGAATACAGATGAACTTGTAACATATGTATACTTTCAATTACTTAATAATATGAGGCATTTCTAACTGTAAAACGGGATTTCGTGTAGAGGTGGAGAATCAGGCAGAGAAGCACGTATTGTGTGTTTGTTTTGTTAACGATAAATTTGGTTTATAATTATTATAGATTTCTGGTCTGAATTACGTTTTTAATTCGAAATATGCTTGTGATTTTATTTCCATTTATTTATTTATTGTTTCTTTTATTTCAAAAACTTGCACAAAGCTACTATACGCTAGCCGTCCATATTTTGAGCTGGTAAACTAGCAGCTAATCACTTTTATAACGCACCAACAGCACAAAAATGCGCACTTCAGATTTTTGCGGCAACGAGACGCCTATAAGGGACCCTCAGATTTACATTCCGCATGCTTAACCATAGGTCATGGCTGGTTCGTTTTTGTTCTTCTTCTTGTTGTAGAAAAGGCTAATGCGTTCATAAAAGTTCATCATTATAGCCAACCGCTCAACGAATAACTCACATAAAGTTATAAAGACTCTAATTTGACCACACCAAGTAAAACCTTAGTTACGGTACACACTGCGTTTGACATGCTGTTCTAAGGACTCTGATTTGACAAGGTGAAGCTAAACTTTACTAACAGTTCCTTTATTTTTAAAAAAGAGTGAAATGCACTGTTCCCTAGGTCCGATTATCTTCCCCTAGATTCATTCTAACAGGATGATCTTCCCCTAGATTCATTCTAACAGGATGATCTTCCCCTAGATTCATTCTAACAGGATGATCTTCCCCTAGATTCATTTACTGGTCATTAACTAGCTTCATCCAAAAAAAAAACAGAATGATCCTCGCACATCTTTACCTAAACAGGATGATCCTCGCACAGCTTCATCCAAACAGGATGATCCTCGCACAGCTTCTCCTAAGCAGGATGATCCCCGCACAGCTTCATCCAAACCAGATGATCCTCGTACAGCTTCTCCTAAATAGGATAATTCTCGCACACATTCACACAAACAGGATGATCCTCGCACATCTTTACCTAAACAGGATGATCCTCGCACAGCTTCATCCAAACAGGATGATCCTTGCACAGCTTCTCCTAAACAGGATAATCCTCGCACAGCTTCATTCAAACAAGATGATCCTCGCACAGCTTCATCCAAACAAGATGATCCTCGTACAGCTTCTCCTAAACAGGATGATCCTCGCACAGCTTCATCCAAACAAGATGATCCTCGTACAGCTTCTCCTAAACAGGATGATCCTCGCACAGCTTCTCCTAAACAGGATGATCCTTGCAGAGCTTCATTTAATCAGGGTAACTAGACACCTTAGACTGTTAAATCTGTTAGAATTTAATATATACGATTTGTGCTGCCTTTCCACGTTTACAAAATGAATATTACTGGAAGACTTGTTGTCATGTTTGAAGAAGCAAATATAATCTATTTTTACTAGAACCAGGCTTAATTATTATGACAGCTATAAAAACTTAAGTTAAGTAAAACACATTATATTAATCTGTCATTCTAATGACTTGGATATATGCACAGCTTTGCGTTCGTATTTTTAAGAACATCAGCACAGACACCCCAAAAAAGTCTACGTAATAAAAGTCATGTGGTTCTCTTTGATGTGTACAATAAGTGTGTTTGTATGAAAATATAGGTATGTGTGAATATGTATATATATGTGTGTGTGTGTGTGTGTAAGGGGTTGCGTGCATAATAGTATGTTTAATTTTATGCAGACGTGCTAAGGACAGGTGAATAGTTACAACACGTGCAAGTATATCCCAATACAACACAAATTCCTAACCACATGAAACATTTCGCAGGATCGAAAAACACGCACCAATACAACAAAACTTCGTAACCACATGAAACATTTCGCAGGATCGAAAAACACGCCCCAATACAACAAAACTTCGTAACCACATGAAACATTTCGCAGGATCGAAAAACACGCCCCAATACAACACAACTTCGTAACCACATGAAACATTTCGCAG